TTTTTTTTTTTTTTTTTTTGAACGTCATCATCTTGAATTTGATATATTTTGAGGGGGGATTGGGGGAAACGATGGAGAAAGTGTAACAAGAAAGACGAAGAATATCGATTCTTTTTTTTCCCAAATTCTATTCATAAACATGATTCGCATAAGTTTATTTTGGAAACCAGAACTTTTTTCTTTTTCTTCGTCGCTAGAATTTCATATTTTTTCCATGATAAAAGTCCAAAAAATCATCACCGAAATTTTCATACGTTGAAAGTTCCCCAAAAAAAAAAAATAACTAACTGACTGAATGATCATCATTATCATCATATTAATCTTTATATGCCTGTCATATTCATAGATATATAGAATCTTTGTGCCCATAGACACACGAAACAAAACAAAACAAAACAAAACAAAATTATTGAAAATAACAAACAAACAAACAATGAAAACACTGTGACAACAACAACAATGACGACAATAATAATGATGATCAACACACATATTTTCATTTTCGTAAAACATTTTAGATTTGAAAATTTATAAATGTTAAAGGTTGATAAGGGTTGTAATGAAAAGTAAAAAAACTTTAACTTTTAATGATAATTTTTAGAAAAAAACATACCGAAAACGTTTTTCTTGTCGCCAAAATGCTTTACAAGCACCTTTGTTTTTTATTTTTGAATGTAGATAAGTTGCACGTGAAAATCCTGTTGTTGTTGTTGTTGTTTGATTTTGGTTGTTGATTTCGATGAAATTTGATGATGATTTTTGTTTCACATAAACAGACACATAAGCACAGATATCACATATTTTTTTTATCAATTTTGTATCGATTCATTGATGATGATGATGATGAAAACAGAATGAAAAAAAAAAGAATGAAAAAAAACACGAATGAAAAAATCAAATTGGAAAAACAAAACAAAAAATGAAATCAGAATTTTTTTACAAGTAATATTTCCGAAAAAAAAACATTTTTTTCGGAAATATTTCTGGAAATTTTGCTGAATATTCCAAATCAATCTAGGTCAATTTTATTCTAACATCACCTGAGGCAGGCATGCAAATATTACAAAGACATGCATAAAAAGAAACATCTCAAACAAAGACATTCTACATCATGCAATCAATAGAAACATTTAGATTAGAAAATTTTTCAAACGAAAAAAAAACATGCAAACATGCAAAACATCATTATCGAAATAGAATTTATTATTTTTGAAGAATAGAAAAAAAATGCAATGCAGGAAAGACAACTTTTTCATCGGTTGTCAAATCAAGTTGATTCGATTTTAAAACTAAAACCATGAATTTTTATTGGTTTGTTTTTTTTTCAAAGTATTTTTTTTTCACCAATGATAATGAGATGATGTTATTAGTTGATGAGATGTTGATTTTTTTATTAATTAATTTTGTAACTAACTAATAATTTATTAGTAATATATAAGGTAACGAAACTTAATTATCTAAGGAAGAGATTCTTTACTACAATTTATAATTACTATAAACTAAACTGAATATTATTATTATTATAATTATTATTTACGAAAAATAATCTAAAATCTAGATTACAAATTTAATTTTTTTTTTGATTATTTAAAAAATTATAATGTTTTAATCTGAATTTTCAATTACCTTTCATCACTTTGGAAGGCACTACAGCTTGTTATATTTTATTTTATCATTTGTGATTGTGAATATTAAAGTGTTAATAAATATATTTTTGTTGTAACCAAAACAAAAGGGGAAATTGGTAATGTATGGGATGCGTTTTATTTGATATATTTTGAGAAAGAAAAAGCCAATGATGTAATGTTGATGAATTTGATTGATATATAGTTGAATGAATTGTCATTTTAGTAGAACACACACACATCGATGATGATAGCGATGATGAAATAGAAACACACACATATGGTGGTCATAGGGTTATTTCGGGAGAGAAAAAAAAAGGATTTTAAAAAACACATTTTGAAAACAAAAATGTCACAAACACACACACAAACAAACACATTGAGACATTGAGAATCATAAAACAAACACACACAAATATGGATGGATTCATTTAGGATTGTAAAACCAAAAAAACAAGGAAAAAAAACAAACAAGAATTCGGGTTTGGGGATAAGTGAAAAAGAATTGTGTCAAAATGTGATTTGTCAAAAAACAACAAACGAAATGAAAAGAATTTTTTTGTTTTGTGCAATTTTTCAGAAAAAAAATAAGCGAAAAGTGAATAAAGCACACACGAACACACAAAAGTGTAGCAAAACAAAATGAAAAATGAAAAGAATTTCAAACATAAAGTGTATATTTCAAATTGATTATTATGATGAATTATTGTGGTTTTTTCAAGTTTGAGTTTAAAAATTGAGAAGAAAAATTTTTTTAAAAAATTAGTTTTGTTTCAAAACTGACATCTAAATCTCTATGTACTGATCTGGATTTCTAATCAACTTGGAGTAATTTTTTTTTTTGAAAAAAAACTTTCCGGAAAGTTTTTTTTTTGTTTCATCTACGAAAATACACACACTTACCTTCATCTTCTTCATCTTCATCTTCATCTTCTTCANTGGTTTTTTGGTTTCTTTTTCAGATTTACTTACTTGGTACACCTGATACCAATTTTAATGGTCTTAATACACGTATTGCACGTAATGTTTTAAGATCTACACCACCTAATACTTTTATATCGGTCGGTATGCAGAATGTAATCAGGCTATTTGAAGATTTTTGTTAAATTTCATCATTCCAAAATTGATTGATTGATTGAATGATCGATCGATTTATATAAAACAGGCACATTATCAAAAACAAAAACAAAAACAACAACAAAAAAAACACATTCCATAACAGAAATAAATAAAAAAATAGTAGTTTTTTTTCAAGTAAAGTTTCGTTTTTCGATGTTTGTTCGGTAACACATTCCATATGTTGGACAGGCAGTCAAAATTCAAATTTTTGTTTTTTTTCGGTGAATAATCATTCATAATGATAATGGAAAAAACAAAAATAAAAAATATATAAAGAAATCGAGCATTCGATGACGATAATGATAATGATAATAATGAATTTGGACAGGCAAAGAAAAGTTTTTTGTTTTGGAAAGAAAATTGAAAAAAAAAACAAATTAATTAATCAAAAATTCAAAAAATACCAAAAAAAATTGATTAGCAAGAAAAACCAAGATTCAACAGAAAAGCAAGCAAAAAAAAAGAATGGGAATCAATTGCAAGCACATGCCAAAAATTGCAAATCAAACAAACAAAAATTTACGAATTCAAATGCATTATGTTTTTCTTTGTTTCAATGGTCAATTCACTGTTTATATGTTTGTATGGTCGTCATTGTTGTTGTTTGGTATGTACTTACTTGGCGTCCTTGATACCAATTTTAATGGACGCAATACACGAAATGAACGTAACATACGAAAATCAATATTTTTAAATTCACTTCCTTCGATTACTTTGTTTGCGATACTATCATTATTGATTGATTGGTTTTTGTGATTGATGATATTTGGCATATTTACATTGAAAAAATTATGATTAATTTTCAAAGAAATAATCAATTTTTCAAAATAATTTTTTGGGGGTTTTCTCAACTGATAAATTTGTGTTTCTTTTTTGTTTATAAAATGAAAAATAAAACAAGCAAGCATTTTGGTTGTGTGTCGGTGTAATTTTTTTCTGAATTTGGCTTATAAGCGAAAATAAAAATTAAGGGAACAAAGCGAGAAAAAAAACAAATGATAATGATAATGATGAAAATACAAACCCAGTCAATACGACTATAAAATCCAATATATTCCAAACATTTCTAAGATATGATCCTTTATGTAGAATAAAACCTAATGCCAATATTTTTAATGTTGCTTCAACACAAAATATTCCTAAAAAATAAGGCTCCGATGTTTCCTATTGTAGTTATCACATTGATAAAGGNAGAAAAATTGAAAGTTTTTGATTCAAAAAATCATTCGTAAAAAATTTTCGTAATTCGTACCAATTTAAGTGATAAAGGCGTACGATCTTTGTCTGGTAGATGCTCTTCCAATGCAAGCACCACACAGTTGGCAATGATAGTAAGTAGGACAGCATATTCAAATACAGTGTTTATTCGAATCAGAAAAAAAATTAAAGATTTTTTGAAATCAATATTAAGGAATCAAGAATAATCGGTGGAAAAAACCATCAGTTTTTTTCGAAAAATCAAAAATAAAATAAAGTTATTCATAACAAAGAAAAGCGAATGAAGAAATTTTGTAAATCTTATGACAATTTTACAAAATAATAATAAAAAAAATAGACGTGAGGAATGTGAATAATAATTTTTTACTTTTACTGAATTACTTTTCCTGAATTACTTTTTTTTGGAATGTTTTTTTTCGCATTGAATTTTCAAAAAAAAACAAATTCAAAAATTGTCATTGATAATGATTTCAATTGAAACTTGAATTTCAATTTCAATTTGATCATTTATGAAATACGAATCTTATCATTTCAAAAAAAAAAAAAATTGTTCACTTCTCTCTGGCCAGCCAAACAACAAACAAAAACCGAAAAAAAATCACTCAGATATGAATGAATGAAAAACATGTAACCATTCATCGTTCCTTTATAAATAAATAATGTTTCTTTTGGGTGGACTTTTTCCTTTTTTTTCATTTGTTCGTTTGTTCATTTTTGGAAATGAATTTCTCCTGATTTATTCACTGAAAAACAGAATATTCTGTATGTATGTGTGACTATATCAAACGAAATTCTGTAACCAAAAAATGAACATCATCATCATATCTATAATTCTGTATATTTAGGTCGATGATAAAATCATTTAAATCAGACCAAATGTAGAATGAATGTAGAAAAAAAACAAATGCAGAAAGTTATTAATTTGATAGTTGAAATTCCGTTGTTGTTTGTTTGTTTCTGTCAAAAAAAAAAACATTCCGGATGAAAAAAGGTAATGATAGGGTTGAAAATAATGTGATATATGATAATAAACTAGGAATAAAACAAAACAAACAGGAACCAAAAACAATCAGAAAAACTTTTTGACAATTCATGACTAATCATCATATTCTTTATATGTTTTTTAATGTTTTTATTTTTTGGTTTTATGGTTTGACCAATAGAGAGAGAGAGAGAGAGAGAGAGAGAGAGAGAGAGAGAGAAATGATTATTGAAAAACTGTCATTGTTTGCTTTTTTCTGATCTGTTCTGCTTTGTTATCAATGTCTTTTTTTGTTCCTGTTTGTTTGTTTCAAAATTGAATAACACACAAATGGTTTAATGGAAATTGATTGAAACCAATAGAAAATCAAAATAGTGAATATCTCTTTTACTGGTTTTCATTGGTTGTTCTTCATTCAGATTCCAGAAAAAAACAATGGAAATAAAGAATAAAAAGAAAGGAAAAAATGTCATTATGATCATCATCATTGATGACAAACCAAACCAAACCAAACCGAAAAAAAGAACAGAAATTATAAATGTTTTTGGCATTTGATTTATTTCTATATCAATAATATCGATAATAGCAAAACGATTAGGAAAAACAGGCCAAAAACAAATAGAAAAATATCATTTCTTTCTCTCTCTGTTTGTGTGTATATAGTCGATTATCGATATCTTTTTTTTGTTGTGTTTTTCTGATCATAATCTATTCATTTTTTCTTTTCTTTTTTTCTATATCCTAAGAAGACTATTTCGACCTATTTTGTTTTTCGGGAATGATGATTATGATTGTATTGTGTGTTTCGGTTAAGTTATTGATGATAATGAATAAGTTAAGTCGATATAGATTTTTTGGTTACGTTATTTGTGAAAAGGATATGGCCATTCAATAATAAAACGTGTATGTCTTCGAATAAAATTATCATCGGAAAATATAAATAATGATGATGGACCTTTACCGGAACTACCACCAATACCACCAATACCACCACCACTACCACCAACACCACCTAATTGACCACCACCTGATTGTCCTCCCGGTGGTTTTCTTTTACTAGCCATTTTTTGTGCTTCTAATATTGCTGCTGCTTCCGGTCCATATGAACTATATAATGATGTTAAACGACGATGTCGATTGAAAAAATTTGGATCAAATTCACCACCGGCACCAATTTGTACACTTTCACCACTAACAGCACCAACGTTTGATACTTCAGCACTTAATGCTTGTAAACTATTTGATGAAGAAAAAAAAAGAAAATAGAGAAAAAAAAATGATAATTTTTCAAAGAAAATTCAAGAATTTTCAATCAAAAAAAAACTTAAAAAACGATCACAAAATTGATGAGAATTTTGAAAAAAAGGGCTGCAGCTTTTTTTCACCAGAAAATCCTACCTTAATTTGAAATTGATTTTTTAAATTTTTAAATTTTTTTTTAAATTTTCAAAATTCAAACAAAATTTTCATCGCATTTTTTTTGTAATTTCAAAACAAACAAACAAAAATTATTATTTGTAAATATGGATGATTATAATTCGCTGCTGCTGCTTTTGTAATTGCTGTCGTTTTGGTATGAATTTTATAAATTCAACGAAAGAAACCCATAAAAGAAACAAAGTTCAATGAAAGACACAAAGTTTACACTGATTATATTCAGTACATCAAGAATTTGAAGAATATTTTCATTTTTGAACATAATGGATTTTTCTGATTTGGTAATTTTGTAAATTGGATTGATAATTTGATTGATCACTTGTAAATGGATTTTTTTTTTTTTTGATTTTTTTGATTGCACTTGATTTTTGTTTTTGATGATGATTAGTTTTTGAGAGGAAAAACTTTTCATTTATTTTTACATTGATTTCTAATTCTATTTACACACAAACAAACAAACAAATAAACAAACAAACAAACAGACAAACGAATGCAAAAATTAACCAAAAATATAGCAAAACAAAACAAGGTAGAAATAGAATATTATTGATTATTGGTTACAGACAGACAAACTGAAGAATTTCATTTTTTTAAATCAGCATAAGGGTATAATGATTGTAAGGTGAATTTCTTGAAATATTTTAACACACAAAACAAAACCAAACAAGGTAGAAATAGAATGCGATGATGATCAAAAGAATTAAAGAATCATTTCTGGAACTGTCAAGAATCGTACACACACAACACACTGTGTGACTAACGAGAAACAAAACCAAAAACAAAAACAAACGTCAGAATTTCGTTATCGGTTGTTGTTGTTGTCGTCATTCACCAGAAAAAAAAGAAGAGAGAAAAAAACCAAACACAAAACCAAAAAACCAGAAGAAAAAAACCCAAAATTTTACCACTCCATATTTTTTCAATTTACAGAAAATGAAATGTAGAAAAAAATCACATAACCGTTTAATAATAATATTTCGTTGTTTGTTTGATTGTTTGGTGGCACCAGAATCCAGAATCCAGAATTCCTGGATTTTCTATTTTCAATTTTTCTCTCTTTTATTTTTTTAATTATTTCATTTCATTTTTGTTTTAATTTTCAATCGGAAAAAAAAGATAATCTGGATGACCAGAAAACCAAACACAGAATCAGAATCGAAATTCACACACAGGATATATTCTGGAGTGACAAAAACAACAACAACTGATATGAAAAAAACCCAAAAAAATGACACCACCACCAACAATAACACATTTTTTTATTAGGTCGCGGCTTGTGATTGCAGAAGCAGAAGCAAGTATACCAGAAAAACAACAACAACAACAACGAAAATAACCGAACCCGAACCCGAATGATTCAACCAAAAAAGAAAAGAAAAAAGAAAAGAATATTCTTTGTTGTTGTTGTTGTCGTCGTCATCGACGTAATCTGGTATAGTTGTTGTTGTTGTTGGTATATCACCCAATACATGTAACCCAGACATTTTGCGTTTTTTTTTTCTTTCTTTTGGTTTGGTTTGGGTTTCCTTTCTCACCATCATCTCTATTCTTATCTTGTTTTGTTTGCTTGTTTCATTCAGTTTTTTTATCTACTTTCGTAGTTTTTTTTTTGTTTCGGGACTTTTTTTCGGGTAATGTATGATGATGTTTCATTTCGGTTTTGCGTCGGCGCATTCCATTGTTGTTGTTCGTTTGGTCGTTTGTTCTGTTGTTGGATCTATCTTTAGACGCATCCATCAATTCTGTTTGGTTTATATTGCGTCTGTCCATTTGTGAATAGATTCTTTTATTTTCTTCTTCTTGTTGAAACAAAAAGAACGCATGTGTTATTCGAATGTGTCATTCAGGACCCAAGAATATATTCTTTATGGTTCTATGA